TTGCCCACGCCAGCCCGCCCCTGCTTCGCCACAGCCTGGGTCAGTGCAGCCTGGCTGGTGGGAGCAGGTGGGGCCAGTCTGCCATTCCCTGGAGGCCAGCGGCAGGAGCTGCGTGGGACCACCCGCCGTGCCAGCCATCAGAGCGGGGGTAACAGCCCAGCTCTCCTGGGTGGCTCTGGGAACGGACCGCACCGTGCACTTGGCGAGGAGATCGCCCCGCCGACCCCTCCGGATGGAGAGTCCGACCTGCGGCCACGTTCAGGGAGGCGCTGGAGGGGGAAGCGCTGAGCACCTGCCTCTAAAGGGGCCATGAAGGCCACCAAGAAGCACCAGCGGGGAGGAGCACGCCCTGATCCCAGTGCATGCCACACATGTGCTTGTGGACAGAGCCATGTGCATACCTGGGCACGCCCCGTGGAACCCGAGCCTGCCCCAGCTCAGCCATCCTGGGTCATGTGGGCCAAGGACAGAGATGAAAGTAAGCCGGTCCAGTCCGATCCGGCGTACCGGCAAGAACCGGTACACAGCCGTCCCGGCAGCAGCCTTTCAATCGCTGCCCGAGCCCCGGGGCCCCCAGCCACCGCCACATCTACCGCTACCATGGGGCTCCGGCAGTGATTTAAAGGGCCCGGGGCTCCCAGCCACCACTACCGCAGCCAGAGCCCCAGGCCCTTTAAATCTCGATTTAAAGGGCCCGGGGATTTAAAGGCCCCGCCTCTTCTGGTTGAAGCCCCACCCCTTCTGGTTGAGGCCCCGCCCCCTGCTCAGGACTCCAGCGTACCGGTAAGTCCTTTAAGTTATTTTCACCCCTGGCCAAGGACATGGCGTGGGCCAGGTGATCGGGGAAGGCCCTGTGACCCCAATGTCTCATGGCACCACGTGAGGGAAGCGGGGCTGGACCCCCTGCTCTCGTGGCACCGTGTGGGGCTGGCGTGGACTCACCGTGAGCTGCTTCGTGGCCACGCCGCTCTCCAGTGCCGCCTTGTTCATGGCTCGGAGCGTCTCATAGTCCGGGGCTTCGATGAAGACCACGTAGGGGACGAATTCGGCTGTTCTCAGCACTTTCACCGCCTGGATAACACAGAGCCAGGCTGTCAATGCGGGCCTAGGACCAGGGACAGGTGTGAAGGGGAA